AAGCATAGGATTTTTTATAAAACCCAGTTGAGTTAAATGAGCTTGACTGCGGTCCAGAATGAGGCCGTGGTACAGTCCTGTCACAGACAGTGGGTATGTGCCCTTACACACACGGCTCTGCTTGGAGCAGAGTCAGGATGATGGGCTGTAACAGGGTTTGCAGCCTGTTCTCTTCAGGAGTGAGGTGATAGCCGAGCCCGTGTGTTTGCTTGTGCAGTTGGCGCCAGTGTGGAGCTGGAGCCGTGTTTGTGGTGCAGGCTGGCCGGGGGCGAGGAGAGGGTGACAGCTCTCCCCCTGATCACGGCCCTCGCCCAGCCCTGCTCCACCCGGTTCTCCCCGTGCTCAGAAGGGGATATCTCAGTTTTCCCTGCTTCCCCATCATAATCCATGGCAGAAAAGTAAAAAAGAAGAACAGGTTTCACTAAATTTAGAGCAAATGCACACAAAGCTGCAATTTATTCATCAAATGCTAGTCAATCAATGTTTTATTAAACTGCCTATAAACACATTTGCTTAAATTGAAAAAAAATAAGGCTTAAACATGTTTGGTGAAGAATTGTTTGTTACAAATTGACAGGAACAACTGTTCCCTTCTTATTTCTTTCAATTTATGTTTTTTTCTAGTTTCTAAATGGCAATTTCTTTTGAAACTTATTGGGACAAGGGGGATCTGAGGATAAAGCAACAAGGATGTATCCGTTCAGTGTAGAATTCTGTCAACCAGTAATGTGAAAGCAGTAGGTGAGTGCTATCTGCATCTGAAAATGGGAAGTTATTGTGAGAATAAAGGGCCTCTCTGCAAGAAAAGCTAATAATGAAATCTCAGTTAGTGTCACAGAAAATTCAGCCCTGCTGTATCTTCTGCTCAAGGACACCATTCATTTTGATCAAAGAGAATACATTTGAGGTTTCCATGTAAGAAGCAGCCTAGCACACAGAGCAAACTTTGTTTCCCTTTGCAAAATGTTAGTTAATGTCCTTCTTCAAACCTTCATAGCTTATACAGAACAGTTGATGACATATGTGCCGTATCTTCCTGTACCCGGTCTAATTTCATGGTTCTGTCGTAGGTACTGTAGATGTTGTGCTTTATGGCATCGCTGTCTTTCCCTCTGTTTCTGGGGTTTTCGGTCATCCCCAGCATGGTCTGGCTAGGTTCTGGGATTACTGTGTGGGTGCAGCGACGGTAATGGACAGATTGCCCTTTTTCCCATTCAACAGCAGCTCACAAGCAACAGACCGGGCCAGTGTGATGGCATCACCACAAGTGACTCCGATGAATCTTCCTGAGATTATCAAGAGGGGGATGTTCACTGGTTTAAGACTTGACGGGATCCACAACAAACTCTGCCTAATTGCAAATTACCTGAGAATGTAAAAATATTCAGAGAAGCTGGAGGTTTTGTATGGGACAGGCTGGACTCCCCAGTGATTGAGCAGATCCTCTAGAGAAATGAAGAAGTTGGAGTTATTTTTACTTCAGAATATTTAAGAAAAATCTGTGTGTCACTTGAACACCAAACTGAACAGAAGAAAATAGCACAACAGCACAGATGTGAGCTGTAGAACAGGCCTTTAATTTATCCCCCTCTTTATTCTGGACATATTTTCATGTTCAGAGTTGTGCTTGAAGTTTGCGTTCAGCAGCACTGCTTGTGCATGAAGCTCTTTCTCAGGTCTTTGACAGCCCCAGCCTCTCCTCAGAGAACACAGGGACATCACCAGATGCTTCAACACTACTCTTTCATCTGTGCTCTGAGAGTCCAGAGAAACAGTGCCCACACGGCCTGCACTCCTCTCTGCTCATTCATGTCATTATGATGAGACCCCCCCCCCCCCCCGAAAAAATGCAAAACAGAGGATATAACGCTTCTTCAAAAGCGGTTCCTTATTTAGCATGCTAAGTAGGAGAGTCAGGAGAAATTAGATTTAGCCTCGGCAAAGTGAGAGTGATTAAATTAAGTGTGCCTAGAGAACGGAGCACTCCCAGAGATCAGTGGGGCAATAAACGCATGTCGCTCTCCGCGCCGGTACAGTTCTAAACGCTTTTGAAGTGCACACGCGCTCTCTGGTTAGTCTTTGTCGCGGATGACAGCCTGTCTGTTTTAATGAAAGCGCTCCTCATTCAGGAGCCCACGGAACAAATATACATTTAAAATCCCTTTTCAACTTTGGGCTCACAGCAGGGAGGCAGACAGAGTTCAGGGAAGAGAAGAAAAACTGAGTGTCGCAGAAAAAAAGGAAAGAGGAGGAAGAGAGAGAGTGCAAATCTCTGTCCCTTTGATTTCTGGTGACTGTGGACATTAAGGTCTCTTCAAACGTGTGGTTTCATGCCCCCCCTCAGTCCTACACTCACCGTTCTCTGTCGCTGCTCTTACAGCAGGGTGACGTTTTTAAAGACACAGCAGCTCCTGCTTGTGGGACTTGGCGCAGTCTGTGCCTGGTGCTGCCTCCTCGAAAACTGCTTGGGTAGCTTTCTAGAATTTTCCTTCAGGCCCGGGCTGCAGCATGGGCTAAGAAGAGAGGAGAACCAGAGGCCCTGTGAAACATCACCAACCTTGCAGCCTCCCACAGGTCTGCATACTGTACATTTTGGTTGATAATTACAGGGCTCTGGGGCTCTGCAGGCATCAGAGACAGGCCCGATGCGATTTTTTTAGTGCATGTTTTCGATGCTTTAAAGCATCGTGCATTTTTGGCGTTTACAAAATAAATGATAACTGAAAAGAAAATGTTTTACGAAGACAGAAAATTCTGCACTGTCAGTTGAGCTGTAATCCGGTTGTTACCTACCTTGAAGTGATCAGAGGGATGCATACAGGGCTGTGTTCTCCAGCTCGTGAAAGGAATGATGTGAGGCTGTCTGCCTCACAAGAGAGGGTGAAACCCCAGCAAATGACACCCAGGGCGACACTACCCCGCTCTTCCCTCGCAGCCTGTAGCATTTAGAGGTCCAGAGGCTGAAAACCCTCCAGGATATCAAATCCATGGACTCTTATTTCTAACTAGGTCAGTGCTTTACAATAACTGTGCTTCTGGGTTTTATTTTCCTCACACTCTTTCAGTTCCACTCCATGTATGTTACTAGGTTGGTTGGCTGATGTGCTGCTAGGAAGACTGACATTTGGAAGGTTAATAGATTCTTTTTTTTTTACTGTTGTTGTGGGTTTTTGAATTGAGGAAAGCAGATTAGCTCCAAAGCGATACAGTATATTCAACACTGTTAGTCCTTGCATCCGGTAGCTGATGTCTGCTCTGAGACGTCAGTGGCTCAGGTGTTTAAGTAGACATATAATTTTCATTGTTAAACAATGTGTTGTAAAACAGCAAATGGAATATACTGTATATTTAAAAGTTTACAATTTGAAGGAAGGAAATATTATGTTAGAATTGTACAGTATATTACACTAGTAAGACTTTATTTAAAATATTGTGTTCAGTTTTGCTCATTAAAATACAGAGCAACAATGGCTTGTCCTGCACAGCCAAGCTGTAGGAACTGAATCATTTCACAATTGAACAGAGAAGACTGCGAGGGGAGAGACCCAGTGAACATCTTCCGATTCAACAATGGGACACTATAGGTTGAAACTATAGGGAAAGTCATCTAAAACTGAAAAAGTGGCAGTTTTATACACAAATATTTGTGGATATTTGGAACAAGGTACACATTCTTGTTTACAATTATACCCAGATAGTTTGGTGAGAACTTAGTATCAATTATCTACTAGAAACCAAACAATCCTTCAGGATTGAAAGGCATCCTCTTGTTTGGAACCTTGAGTTTGTTCTTAATCTATTAGGAGATATTGAAGCTGCACTGTATTTTTGAATAGCTTTGTGAGGATATACACAAGGCAAGGCAGACTCTTTCAAATTAAAAACTCAATGTACATTTCTGTTCTCTTCCACTTTCACATTCCTTAAATGCAAATCCCTTTCGTCTGGAAGACAATGAATTCTGAAAAGGTGGTTGAAGAAGATGATAGTTGCTCATGTGCCTGAAGCCCTCAGGTATACTATAACTGCAAGGCCAAGCCCATCCAATATTTCCAACCACATTTAAACGTGAAATGCCTCTGGTGTGTCATTCATTCCAAACTGTATTAAGCCACGATAACCATAGGCTAGATCACTGCAGCAATGTATTTAAAAATGGGCCCTCTGTATTCCAAGGAAGGGAGTGCGGCTTGTGAGAACAGCATGAGCAGAGAGTGGAGCTGTGTTAACCATTCAGAGCTCAAGCACAGCACTTGTGCTCTGGCTCCCTGTGTGCACTAAGAATCCCAGGCTAATTCTACTGCCGTGCAAAACATCCTGTATAGAGCAGGTGATGTTTAACCACACACTAAATCATTTTTGTCATTAAAATATCCTCCTAGAGTTATCCGTGTCTGTGTTTATTGTTCTTGTTAAAGAGGGGCAACACCTTATTGAGGTTTTGTTTCTTTAATTGCTGTCGCTAAACAGACGTTTGTATTTAATGGGTGAAGAGGGGTTCTATAGAGGTTGAGAGCTCAGTAGCAAGAGCAAGATTACAGGGGCTCAAGTTGAGGCTGGCACAGTCAGGGTGCTTCCTCACTCAGTGCTTCAGCCTGGCTCCTGTGAGCTCTCCTCTGAGAGCCTTTCAATCTGGCATCTGAGGTACTGCTTGAATGACACACCTCCAGTGCCTGACAATGCCAGACACCCGCATATTTTCATGAGGAGCATGAGTCAGAGCAAAAGTGTTCAGATGAGGAGAGGCAACATGGATGGCAGGTGTAGTATTGACGTGGTTTTGCATGTAAAATTAACATGTTACTCAGGATCTTATGTGTTAGAAAATAAATTTATTAAATTCTATCCAGGAGAAGCCTTTGAATTTTGTTTTATTTCATGTAAAGACTTGCATACTTTGGAAAATGACTGATCTGCTGTCCAGTGGGCACAGCCAGGACAGCCATCCGGGTGACATTACAAGCACAGCACTGATCAGCAGGGTTTCCTCTGTGTTCCAGGATCTAGATTTCTCATCACATCCACGGGAGCCTTGTACATTCTGGATGTCCAGAATGAAGATGGATTGTGTAACTACCGTTGCATCACACGGCATCGCTACACTGGGGAGACCAGGCAGAGCAACAGCGCTCGCCTCTTCGTGTCAGGTACACCTGAACTGACTCCGCCCACCAACACACCTGAACTGACCCCGCCCACCAACACACCTGAACTGACTCTGAAGATACACCTGAACTGACCCCACCCTTCCCTAGTACACCTGAACTGACCCCGCCCAACAGTACACCTGAAATGACCCTGCCC